TTGCGAAAGTGTACCTCAGAAAAAAATGAGGAAAGTTTTTAAACTGAATATCTTAAAATTTGCCTCATCTATTGAAAAAATGGTTTTGTTTTACATAAGGCAATATTAGGTACATAAAGAAAAACAGAAACAGTGATTATGTTGTTGGGCCAGATTATATAAAACTGCTATATTATTGTAATTAGGACAACAGTGACTTGGACTATAATAGTGGCTTTCTTGTAAAAATCGCACCATTTCAAATTTATAGTCTCTAGCTAAATGAGTTTGTTGTAGCATTGACAAAGAAACAAACACAAGCCAAATGCAGTCAAAATTAAACACAAACAGAAACCGTAGCTGTTTATTTCCTGGGTAGAACCCAGAATGTTGTTTTTCAAAGAGCATTTACTTAATAAATGCTCTTCCCTGCATTCTTACTGCTTTTTCAATGCAAAATTTTTATCTTTAAAACTTTAAGCACATTATGCATGTAAAAAATACTTATGTACATGCAGTTTATAACTGCAGTGTCTGTAGTGGAGTAAAATCGTACTTAAATATTGATAATCTAAGGCTCTGGACGAAAGAACGGAGAGTTCTGCTGTGTTCGGGAGATTGCCTAAATAACAGCCGTGGTGGTGTGGGTTCCTTTTTTCTGCATTACTTTTCACCCTCAGGAATCTCTCAGTTCTCCAAATCTTTTGTTCATGCTTAGTTGAAAAGGGTTCTGTCACTTACGGGAGTGGGATAGGTTGCTACTTTTTCGGGACCCTTAGCATCTTGCAGTGGAACCAGAGCTGCACTGACGTAGCAACATCCTCTGCAGCTGCGGAGGGGACAGAGTTTGCTCCTTTATGTACTTATTGCCAGTGTGAACATATTAATGTGCCATGTTTCACACCTGCATAAGATTTGATTCGAGGCATACAACAAAAAAATTCAAATTAAAGGTGATAAAATTTAAACTATGTAAAAGCTTAACTAATTTCAGTAGTGGAAGTAATTTCTTTAATTTCTGTTTCATGATTGCTTAGATCTTTCATAAACAATTTTCATCAATAAGATGTTGGGAGCAAATTACTGAATTTGAGAGACCTTCTCAGAACTGTGTATGACAGTCGGAAGTGAAGTGCTGAGTGGCAGAGACTGGCAGTATAAGAAATTGATTTCTAGGAGGTGGAAGAGTATTTTATTTTTCCATTCCCTTCATTAGTTTTATTAGGTGAGATTATAGTCACACTTCAAGTGACCTGTAAGGAAAGAAAAAGAAGGGTATGCCATTTTTTCCCACCTTTGTATATATAAACAGTGAACGAGAATACTGAGTATTATGTATGTATTTTTAATGTATGTATAAATTTCAGATAAACATGGGGACTCAATAAGTGATTAAATTATTTTATATCACAAGAATAAAATCTTGAGAGCTGAGCATCAGAATTGGAAGCAATGTTAGACACTGATTGCCTCTTTTTATTAAGGCGTATTCAACTTTAATGTCTAATGAACACTTGGGATAAAGGAGGTGTTTATCAAAGAATCAGCATACCCATTTAAGTCGAAATCTTGAAATAAATATCTATAAAAGTCTTCAGGAATTCTCAAGTGAAATAAGAAAAGAATAGACATTATATATCAAACCTTTCTAAACAAGCAATGTAATTATTTCTGAAGTCCTTTGAAATGAAAGCCAGCTAGGCAAATCAAACACAATCTCAAAGAAGTCAACAGTTTCACTTCTTTATTTTCCTTTGTGTATAAAGTATATCATGGAAACAAAATGGAACAGCCTAGATAAAAAACTGTTACAAAAATTTTCACTGTTCTGTGATGAGCCTTATCTTATTCCAGCTCTGCCCCATGTATGATGTTATGCACAAACCTCTTCTGTCTTAGAAGGTTACAAAACAAAAGTTATATGATAGCAGCCACAGAAACCTAGTTAGTCACCTGCTATTTCAGTTTTAATCCAGTTGAAGAAAGCACTGACCTCTACATTTGTATTTGGTATCACACATGGAACAGCAGCTGCGAACTGCAGGGAATGTCCTGCTGGGGTGGTGGGACTACGGCCTGAATTCTGCAAGAGGGGAGGTGCAGCTTGGCTCAGAGATTACTTTCTATAGGACCAACAAAGCAGAGAACTTGTAACTCGTGTATGATTTACAGAAGGTGAGCCAACAAAACTTAAATATGTGAGACAATTCTAATAGCTACATCTTTTCACGCTTTGTAACTACTGTGGGCAAGCCACAAAGGGTCCTTTTGTTCCTCTGTTCCTGCAACATCCAAACTCAAGCTTCCTGCATGCTTCCTTGTCATTGTTCCCAATTTCATTTATTTTCTGTAGCCTATGCCATGGCCTCTGAGTGTGCCCCATGGTTGCTTCCCTGTTACTGTTTTTATTCTCCTGTATGTGAAGGAGGTCATTCAAGATATCATCTATAGGCTGAGGCTGCTGTACTTGCTACAAGGCTGGGGACCGCATTTGTGTCATCTGTTCCCTTTATCATTTTCACTCAAAGCTACCAGGCATTGTCTGTTAGCGTCTGGGTATACAGCAAAATTCGTAATTGGTCCAGCAACATATTTCTGATGTTACTTCCTTATAAACCAACCATCAAGTTAAGGATAAAGCCCATTTCTCATGCCCAGTGGCAGGTTAAAGATTATTATTTTAAACGTTAGGTATAAGATCACCTTTCAACATCAGAAACAGTTATGCTTCAAAACATAAACTGTTTACATGTTTATAAGAACAGGTTCAGCTAGCATCTGTCAAAGACAGATACAACGTAATATTCATCAGCATTGTGTTCCTCTTCCACGTGGTACGCATCAGCTGCAGGCCACGTGGATTCCTCTGGACTCTGCTGAGCAGCAGGAGAGATGCTGGTGGAGCACTTTCTTGCCAGATGGGGCCATGACAACCAGCTGATCTGCTTCCCTTCATTGATGTTCTCCCTCTGTAAGAATGGATAAATTTACGCCAGCAGCCGAAATAAATGACCAGTATAAGCCATAGGGATTTTTTTCTCTATTGAGATGTATTTCTGCAACCTGCATTCCTGTCCCTGGGAATTATCCCATTATTCCCATGCAGCAAACCTGCCACAACTTCAGGCACTGCAGAACTTCCACTCCATAAGCGAGGTGTTATCCATCCCTCTAGGCACTCCCAAATCCTGCTAGCCCCATATCTTGCCCTGATGTTTGAAGTGGCCAGGTGGGAAAGCATGAAATGGAAGCTATTGGGTGATATGCAAATTCTCTCTAAATACCCAAGTATTCCTCTAAATAATTTGCATGTACTGTAACGCACAAAACTGCCCAAAGCCATAGCGGTGATGTGCCATACAGAGAAAGAAAAAAGAGCACAATGCAAGGACATGCCAAAGGGATCTCCTCCCCTTTTAGTTTGCTGTTCCTGTCCTGAAATGACATGTAATTTGGACTCAGCAGTGCACAAAGTGTGAGAAGCAAGAGGAGGCTATTTTTATTGGCATATACAGAAAGGGGGGTATTTTGGTGGGTGCTATAATTCTTTTCCTTTCTGAACATAAGAAACGTAATTCAGCCCTGTTGTGGTTTAACCCCAGCCGGCAACTCAGCACCGCACAGCCGCTCGCTCACTCCCCCTCAGTGGGATGGGGGAGAGAATTGGATGAGTAAAAGTGAGAAAAACTCGTGGGTTGAGATAAAGACAGCTTAATAGGTAAAGCAAAAGCCATGCACGCAAGCAAAGCAAAACAAGGAATTCATTCACTACTTCCCATTGGCAGTCAGGTGTTCCGCCATCTCCAGGAAAGCAGGGCTCCATCACGCGTAACAGTTACTTGGGAAGACAAATGCCATCACTCCAAATGTCCCCCTCTGCCGCCTTCTTCTTCTTCCCCCAGCTTTATGTGCTGAGCATGACGTCATATGGTCTGGAATAGCCCTTTGGTCAGCTGGGGTCAGCTGTCCCAGCTGTGTCCCTTCCCAGCTTCTTGTGCACCCCCACCCTACTCACTGGTGGGGTGGGGTGAGAAGCAGAAAAGGCCTTGACTCTGTGTAAGCACTGCTCAGCAGTAAGGAAAACATCCCTGTATTATCAGCACTGTTTCCAGCACAAATCCAAAACACAGCCCCATACTAGCTACTATGAAGAAAATTAACTTTATTCCAGCCAAAACCAGCACAAGCCCTTAGCCTTTCTCCTACTCTTGCTTTCTCTCCCTCTGTAGATATTGTCTTATTGTTAGCCTAATTAGCATCATCATTATATTTTTAAGTAATCCAAAAAAAAGTCTCTGCAGCAAGCTTAATGTAACCAACTGAATTGCATTCGATTTTGCTTCTTATGGAAATGGTAAGTGCTATGTTGCCTAAAAAATAAAAAGGGAAATTTCCTTAATTTTTTTCTTCTATTTTTTGGTCAGAGTATGGAATTTTATAACTCTGGCCAGACAATGCCCCCCTCAGTGGCAGAGACTCATTTCAGAGACAATAGGTGTTGTCCTAACTCTGTCACTGTGGCCACATCAAACCATTATTATGGCTGCAAGCCAAGAGAAGAAAAAAGAATCCTTTTTATTATTGCTTTTCTATGCGGCCTCTGTAACTTGGCAAGGTTCTTTCAAACGTGATTTTGCAAATCTGTAATGCAACATATTGTATTGTATTATTAACCTTGTATTTCATATCCCTTTGATATGGTTCCTTTGCAAATGCTTGAAGTCTACACAGATCTATCAGGTAGCTTTAAATGCATTCTACAAAGAAACCTTAAATAATACAGCTACTAAAAAGGTTTTGCTTTTACCCAGAAATTTAGTCTGCTGGAATATATCATCTTGAACGAAAATGTTTTGTTTGTGTTCCACAAGTAATGTTTTGTTACTGATGTTTTTTCTTCTTTTCTTATTGTCATACAACTCACAAAGAAATTAATTTTTGTTTCAAATTATTTTTTGAATAAGTTATGCAAATTTCTAGTAAGAGTGTAAACATTAATTGTGTATATTCTTTTTATTCAGGCACCTTTGTTACTAAAGTAACAGCTACAGATGCAGATGATCCAGTTTATGGAAATAGTGCAAAGCTGGTTTATAGCATTCTGGAAGGACAGCCTTACTTTTCTATTGAGCCACATACAGGTAGGTGACTCTGAATATGAATCCCTGGGTTGTATTTACACAAGTGACTGTGGCTCTTACGTGTTTTGTATAATATACTCAAACAGGGAGCATAAGTAGATGTCTGTCGGTATTACCGAGTTGTAACGTGTCTCACTCGTATTCCATCAGAGTCTGATCGTGTGAAAAGACAAAGAAAAATCTGTATTAATGATGGTGTAAGTAATGGTGATGCTAACATTACAGAAGTTACTGAAGCAAAACCAAAGGTAGCGCAAGTGCCGTGTGACTTATAACTGATTAGGGATTGAAAGACTTGGCCTGAGGAATTTAATGAGCATAATGTAATTTTCAGTCTGAGACTATAGTATTTCCTGTTAAACAAAGTACAGTTTAGCTTGGGAATTTTAGGGAATATATTGTGTGTTTTCATTAAAAAATATTTTTTTTTCTTGATTGGATGAATCGGGGGAAAGAAAGAACCTGATACTGACTGTTGGTATGAAGTTTTATTAGCATGCATTTAGGACGGCTTTATTTCTCTGTGGTTTTAAAGTCTTGAAAGTCATCTGAAAGAAGTGCCAATAAATCCATTCCCTCTTGTTCTCTGTACATATGTCGTACTTACAGCAAATTCATTTAGTTATGTCTGAGAAGTGTTTTTTGAAGCGATTTGATATTATTTCTTATATTGTTTTACCTGTTAACTAGAAGCCGGTTTTAATCACTGTGAGGCAAGCAGCTGTGGTCTCCTAAGGAGAAGAAAACTGTAATTCATTTTAAAATATACAAAAAACCATCTGAATTTATATGGCCATAAAGGAGTAAAGCAGGAGTAAAAATTCTCGTCTTCATGCAGATTAACAAAATTATGAAGTAAATGCTAGGAGAAATTATTAAAAGATACTTTTGATAACTCAAGTGTGATAGGTTTTCTCACCTACATTAAATAGAGTACTCTTCACTCTTTAAAATCTGACAGTTCTTTAACTCTTTCTGGTGAGATTGCATGGGAAAAATTATTTCCCTTTCCTAAAAATGCCATGACTTGCAGAGACTTTAGGTAAATAGTATAGGTCAATAAATATTAATAGGTTAATGGATTAATCCACTAAAATATTTTCTTCTGATTGAAGGACAGGTATCCTAGATGTGAAAACAATCTCTGGAATGTGATTCAATATTTTATTTTATGCTGCATGTAAAAGAGAGTTTTACAAAGAATAACTCTAGCACAGCACAATGGAAAAAGAGTAACTTGTTTCAAAAGTAAGTGTGTCAAGAGAGTGTTATTAGTGAAGCCCCTTAGTTCATGCTGGCTGATTTGTGACAAGCCATGTGGAAATGCAACTCTGAACAGCCCCCTGACCGTCAAGTATCAAAACATATGATTTGGTTTTCTTTAATATTACAGATTATTGCATGCAGTAATGACTTGAGTGAGCTGTCTTAATTAGAGGGGGATTAGCTGTAGGCTCTTTGTGAGTTTCTACTAGGGAAAGTTAGTGCTTTAGCATGGGCACACATCAGCTTTCACAGAGGAGCTGAGAAGTATATTCTCCACCTACACAGGAGGTTTTTCACTTCTTTCACGTAAAATAGCCTGAAAGAAAATATTCCAAATGTAAAAAATTGTTTAATTTTACTCAGGTTTATTATTTGTGTTGCATTAAAACCTTATGCTTAATCCATTGAAGTAAGTATTCCTCACCTAGGAAAGTGATTTCCATTATCATGAAAGTCAGAGAAAACTCCAAAGCTTTTTGGTGAACCTGAAAATCATGATTTTTCTCCTGTTTCACTAGCATTAAATTCCCCCTCCTACCTTCATTTCCAGTTATAAATATTTCTTTGAGTAGCAGTTCAGTTACCATGAAAATGACATGTTAGTTTCTGAAGGGAATTTAATTCTGAAGAATTCAGCTGTGGCTTTGCCACAGTCCCTGAGTAAGTGGCTTCGTATTATGGAGCTGCTTCTGAAGGAATAAGTGATTTCGGATTCCCCATTTTTCTAGATCTATGGAGGACATCAATTATGTTCTTCTCTAAACCATTACAACTGAATGAATTTATGTACTGAGGCTGTCCTCTGTTTCTTTGCCATCTTTGTGTAATGGCCTTCATCTGTAGCGTAACTACCATACTACTCTTACAGCTACCCACCAAATCATCTGCTAAATCCGGAGAGTATGCAGTTGTTTCTCTGATGTTAGATGGACCTACCCATGGCTTGTAATGTTTTAAAATGTGCAGAATTTGTTCTTCTGTCCGAGATGTGTCTTCATTCACTTAGAGAAATCTTAGCCATACTAAATGTCAAATTGTGTAGAGCCCTCCAGCAGACATTTGTTTAGAATACGTAGACAATAAATATACATAAAAGTCTAGTCAGACTAGATGCAGGTAGTCATGTAAAAACTGCAGCCACATATTATACAAGGTGAAAAAGATTGCTCTAAAACCCAGCAGCTTTATAGTTGTGGTTCTTCTGAAAAGAAGCGTTGATTTCAGAAAACGTAAGGACCTATGCAGCAGATTTTCTTGGTAATACCAGAATTTTGGAGCAAGGGTACGATAATATGTATTCCATATCAGAGAGAGTTTTATGGGTTGTTACATGCAGTCTCAAAATGCCAATAGTATTATGCTAAGATAGCTACAATTTTGCAGTAGCTTGTGGCACTGTATATTTCACCTTTTAGAGGTAGTGGTGAATAAAACATGCACACTAGTTTAGCAGCTATATAATTTGGACAGTAGTGCTGTTTCCATGGACAGATAGAGCAGAAGGTGCATTTTAACAAAAAGAAAATGTCCAAAGCAAATAGAAAGTATGTAGATGTTTGATTGTTTCTTTATATTTATGTATATATCTTAGCAATGTGAACCATCACAACTAATATTTGTTTCCTCTTAGTAACTAGGCCAGGAAGACACATTTATGTTAGACATTCATATGTAGTACTCAGGAACCTCAGTGAAAGTTTTCATGTGGGAAGATGTTTGGATACTGTTGTGACAGCGTACAAATTAAAGCAGAACAGCCAGGTATAGTAGTGTCTTATCCAAAACAAATCAAACCTAAAGGTGATCCTCTAAGCATGGTGGATATTTTAGGGCTTGGGGTTTGCTTGTTTGTTTGGTTTTTTTGGCGGGGATGGGGGGTATGAAGATGTGCGTATAGCTACATTTTCTCTGTGGTTACATTTCATTAGCGCCCCTGCTAAGTTGAAAGCCTTTCTAATTCATTTGAAACAGAATTTTGTCTGAACGCAGATATCGCATCTAGAATTGTGTCTTTCCCAAAATGGAATTGCTGTTTTAAGAAACTGACTATGTTGAAGTGATCCACATCAGAATGTAAATATTTTCTGTCATTTATGGGAGCGTATCAAAACTTATCAAAACTATCGCTGCTTAGAGCTGATATACTTACTATTTTTCTATATGACTGGCCTTTTTATTAGTTTTGTTTGTTAGAAATTAAGACTAGATTTAGATCTGCGCAGCTACCAGCACCAGGGCAGCCATAGATGGGCTGTACTGCCTATAATTTTTTTCATTTCCTGGCTCAGACTAAAGATTGTCTGACCTTGTTGCTTTGTTTTAATGGTACGCTGAGAGCTGACCATCAGGAATAATCCCAATCCTGCCTCCTGATTCCTCTCTCTTCTGTAGTACTCTGAATAAAAAGAGGGAGCAAAGGTGTAGGATATGGCTGCATGCCTACATTAGAAAGGGTTGCTGCACCTGAGGGTAAACCTGAAGAAAATAGTTGCTTACTCTTCTGCTTTTTTGTTCTTACCAACTTGACATTAACTAGGTGTAGTCCTTGTTTGAATCACACTCTTGGTTGAAACTCTGACAGTACACTCAACCTTCTTGCTGAAACAATTCTGTAATGCTGGGTGCACAGAAATAAGTACTGGTAAGTGACCTATAAAACAATAATTTTCCATTACCTTAGATGAAAAATGCATATACTTTTGCTGTTCTAGTTTGCAAATTCTTCTATGAGTTATAGACACATGACAGAAGGTAATTCAGAAGTTATTTTTCATTCAGTGTTCCGAATATGGCTTAGGGTAAATGCTTTTTTGATGGCTTATTCTGAATATTTTTCATTTTTCATAGGTGAATTTTAATACGACCATTGGTTTATTGGATAGAGAGTAAACATAATACATTACAAACATACAGATTCAGATTTTCTACGAGAGGCTAAACCTACAACGTGATGACATCAGATGAGTAACAAAACTCACGGTGGACTAAAATATATTCCATAAATCATTATCACTGCATCTGACTAACTGATGTCAGGTTTCCTGATTAGTGTGTATTATTTATAAAGGTTTACAAATTGTATGTATTCTCTCATAATGCAAATAATGACAATCAAAATGCTGGGGAAGGCGGTTCCTTAAGACTGCTAAATGTAGCTAAAGTACACTTCTCACTTTTAAGCCTTTTCAAGGATATTAAATCATGACTGTCAGTTTTAATATAAGATTATCATAATGGAATATAATATGAAGTGGCACTGTGTTCTACAATATAGGAATGGCAGAGAAAATACGTTTTCATGTCATCTGTGTCTGACTTATTTACATTTCACATGAACTTAAATAATGTCACTCCTACACATACCTGAAATACAGTTACATGAACAAGGCAAATTACACCAAACGCCCTACTGCACTGGAAAACACATGCTATTATCCAAGCATAAACTCTTACTATATATGAAAAAGAATAGCTTTTAAACACTGCCATCATGGATATGGTCATTTGGTACAAAGCCAAAGTTCAAGTTAGTAAAACGGAGATGAATAGAAGAGTCAGGAGACTGAGTCGGTCTCTTCTCCCTAGTAATGAGTGATAGGACGAGAGGAAACGGCCTCAAGCTGCGCCAGGGGAGGTTTAGGTTAGACATTAGGAAAAACTTCTTCACCGAAAGGGTGGTCAAGCATTGGAACAGGCTGCCCAGGGAAGTGGTTGAGTCTCCATCCCTGGAGGTA